AAAGGGGGCGGCAAGCAGTCATCACGGTTTGCTGAGGCTCCCCAGGCCAGAAGTGGATCTCCACATATGAGAGCAATGGTGAGCAACGCACTCTTTGCGTGCGGCATTCCACTCGTGACGGATGCAACAATCCCAACTGTCCCGTGTTAAAGCTTGATGGGACCCCTTGTCTTGGGCGCCATCCTGCCTGGCAACACAAGGGTTGAGGGTGCCCGGGAGAGGGGGGGGCGTCTTCTCCGGGCAGCGCCGCTTTGGCCTCCTCTCGCAGTGGGTATGCGCGTGGCAATTTGCGCGGTAGTTGTAATGTGGAAGCCAATGACTTGCCAAGCGCCATAGGCCAGCCCCAGCATAGTTATGATGAGTGCACAGCAGGTGCTATTTCCGTGTTGCAAGAGGGGCCTGAGGAGAGCTCGACCTGCGTGGCTCCATCGGTTCTACCGGAACCTCCCAGATCAAGGGTAATTTGTTTTTAGACTTGTGTGCGGGTTTCGGCCGTCCTCTATCGACTGCTTTGCTGCAAGCTGGAGTGTCAGTGTTGTCAGTGGACACTCGTAGTGTTGGACATGACTTGCTTTCGGACCAGCTTTACGAACGCCTGCTGCGTCTAGCTTTCTCTGGGGCTGTCACCTTAGCGCATGCTTCACCATCTTGGGAGAGTTGTTTGCGTGTGGATGCCAACTGTGTTGATGCGCGGCCGGTCTGCTTGCTGGAATACATCAATAGTGTCCCCGGCCTGTCAGCGACTGATAAGGACCGCGCAGTCTCAGACCGAGAGTTGTTGCTCCGCTGCGCGCAAGTGTTGTTGGCGGTTTACACTGCTGGGGGCCACTCTGTGCTACAGCAGCCAGTTGATGCTTTATCCTGGTTGGAGCCTGAGGTCCAAGCCTACCTTACAGCAATCAATGCTGACCTTGTGTGTGTTGGCCCGTGCGCTTGTGGTGCAGAGTTCAGCCAGCGGCGCGCGCTGGCAGGAAGCTGGCGGGCGCTACAGCAGCTCGCCTGCTCGTGTGCACCAGGGTCATGTGTTTGCCTTAGCAGTTCGCAGCGCCCCTTTGAGCTTGCAGATGTGTTCGTGCGAAGTTTTGTGCGTGCTGTGCTTCCTCTCTTCCGTCCAAGTCTGCAGCCGCAAGAACTGTCAGTTGTGCAGCTCCCGCTACTTCTCCCGTGCAAGGATAGAGCTGCTTTCCCGCGTGCAAATCAAGATGGGGGTGGTATCTTTTCCTACCCGGATTGGAGCGTGCCCCCGCCAGGTGTGGAGGATGTGTTTCGAGACGTTCGTCACACGCTAACAAAACTTCTGCTGGAGTTGCGTGTGCCAGCCAGACTCCGCAAGCATGTTTCCGACAAGTCTGAGTTGCCCCTCTTCACAAAAGCCGAGGTTCAAGGCATTCGTGAGCTGTTTCAGACTTGGCTCCTTGAGAAATGCCCAAACGCAAGCTTTGATTGGTCAGTGCCCGACCATCAGCCCTACTGCTTATCCGCGCTTGCCTGTCTTTCCGAGGTTTTGGGAGACAAAGATATTTATCTCTTCTCATCTCTTTTAGAAGGTGTTCCCACAGGTTTTGCTGCGGACATCCCCAAGTCGCACGTGTTCGTCCCAAATCAGGCAGAAGAGGCCAGTGTGCCGGATGATGCTCTCTCTGTGTGTGAGAGGAATTGGAAAGGAGCTGAAGAAAACCCGGAAGTGACGCGTGAGCTCCTGCGCAAGGAGCTGAAAGAGGGGTGGCTCGAGGAGCTCCCTCTTGAGCAGGCCCAGCAGCGCTGGCAACATGTAGCTGTGGGCAAACTCAGCGTAGTTTTCTCGGCCCTACGCAAGCCACGGCTAATCGTCGATTCGACAGTTTGCGGCACAAACTCTTCTTGCGCCATACCAGAAAGGTATAGCTTGCCGGCGCTGACGGATGTGCAGCGGTCTTTCCCGCTTCGGGGCAGCCAGTGTGAGTTGGGCGCTTTTTCCCTAGACATCAAAGCTGCGCATAAAACCATTCGCATTAAAGAGACAGAGCGAGGGCTTGTGGGCGTGCAGTTGGACGGAAAGCACTACTGGTATAGGGTTTGCCCTTTTGGGGCCAATTTCTCTGCGCACTGGTTCCAAAGAGTCAGCAGCTTTTTTGTCCGGGCCATGCAGGCATGTATGTCGATGATTTTCTGCTTTGGCAGGACGTGCTCGTCCTTGACCTGTCAGCGTGCCTGGTCTTAGCTGTCTGCGCTGCCTTCGGGTTTCCGATTTCTTGGGCTAAGGTCCAGCTAGGACCCACAGTTGTCTGGATTGGATGGCAATTCATGTTCAGGGCTGGGGCCGTGCGTCTTCCGGATGAGAAGATCCGGAAATTGTGCAGTGCGTTGAGCAAGGTCATGTCCGGATCCTCGTGTTCCAAGTATGACCTTGATGCCTTGTTGGGATTGCTGCAGTGGGTTCTGCAAATGAGCCCTGAATTGCGTCCTTGGCTCTCAAGTCTATACTCCGATTTGCACAAACCCCTAGGCGCTTCTTATAGCATTGACCCCGGCATGTGGCACACGCTGTCATCTTGTCTGACGGATGATCTGCATTTCCATCAAACCCCGCCTGGATCTTCCATTCCTGCGGGGGCTCGTTTGCTCAGCGCCCGGCACGTTGACCTCAGTTGTCCTGCTGACCTGGCTCAGGTTCCCTTGACATCAAAGCGTGTGTGGATGCGTGTTGCAGATGTGCGCAGTGTGAAGCGCAAGCTTTCTGCACACAGCCGCAAGTTCCTTGAATTTTGGAAGAAGTGGGCTACCTCTGCCCCGTGTCTTCGCAGCTTGTCTTCCGTTCCCAGGGATGTCGAATGTCTGCTTGCGGCTGATGCTTTCGGTCGTGGCACTCAGGTAGGAATTGGAGGCTTCCTGCAGTTCCCAGGGTCTGAGCCACTGTGGTTCAGTGAGCGGTTTTCACTGCGTGACTTTGCAAAGTTGCAGCTTCCTCTTGACCCGGACGCCCAGCGAGACATTACCTGCTGGGAGGCTATGGCTCAGTTGGGCCTCGTCATCCTTTTCAGTGAGTCTGTGCCTGGCGGCCGCATGCGAGTATGCATCCCATCTTTCTCAGATAACACGGGCGCCGAGGCGTCGTGCAACAAGCTGCTAACCTTCGGCCTCACCCTTGTGCTACTTTACGCAGCAGTTAGCCCTTGTGAGTTGGCGCTGTGGGGTGGTCCTGGATGTTCAGCACATTGCTGCATACAAAAACGATGATGCTGACTACCTTTCCCGCTGGGATGGGGCTGAGCCGCTGCGCGAGAAGTGGGACCTTGATTTCCGTGTTCGCATGCCAGTTGAGAGGCTGTGGGAATCTGCCTCGGATGTCCGAGTATTTCCTGCAGACGAGCACCTCTTGTGGCGATTGCCCTATTGAGGGCTCTTGCCGGTTGATTTCCGCTATCTGCAGCCATGTTTGTTGCAGTGCGCGTGTGCCTGTGCAGTCAGGTTGCTGCAAGGGTGTGGACTGCACCCGTGCCATCGCCAGTCAAGCTGTTCAGCTGCCAATGCGCGGCTGACTCACGTCTAAAGAGGGGTGTGTATGGGCGAGTCATCCTTTTTGACAGTGGTAGAACTAAAGAGGGGTTTGAGCTTGATTGCTTTGCTGGGGCTTGTTAGCTTTGCTTGGATATCTGTGCTTGACCACCACTGCCAAAATGAGTGTCTCTGTGCGTTTGCTCTGTAGGTGTAGCTGCTTGTGTGGCTTGGGGATAAAATGTGAACGGTTCTTGTGTTTACTCAAGGTTGTTTTCATTTTGTTGACCTAGCCGCGCTTTATCTATTGCTCTCCCCAAGCCACTTTGCTCACAGCTTCTGCTTTCACATAGGCGTAGCAGCTTTTGATGCACCCACCTCATCCCTCCCTGAGCTCGCCGCTGTTCTAAGCTTGTTGGCTTTGCCTTGTTGTTGGTTCTTTTCTCGATGAGGCGGCAGGGGGGGGTTTGAGCTTGATTGCTTT